TCCTTTCGTTTCTTCTCCCTTATCAGTTTCCTGTTGAACTATATAGCTCATATGCTAGTTAGTATTTCAGAATATTAATTTTCAGGTTGCCTAGCCTGCCCTTGGATAAGAAGGCTCCTGATGATGCTTGGTGGCCAGATGACTTGGGTGGTGTGTTTTCTATGGCTTGCCATGAGGATAGGGCACAGGGGAGCAAGGCAGGGTGGCCAGCACTGTCCTGTCTCTTGGGGCAGAATCAGATTATGGCATGTTTGCTGCCTAAAGCTGGGGATGGCAAAAACACAGAAGTCTTGCAGAGTCAGAGCCACGTGTCTGATGGAACCGTGAGGCTGGAGAGGGACCTTCAAGATATTTCTCAGGAAACATTGCTCTGTCTTTTCAGGAGGAACGGATGGAGACAGCCACTTGGAGAGTGTGTGTGCATTTGGGGTAGGGGACGGGTCTGTTTGCTGTTTCACCTCTGGATCTTTTAATCCCAGCACCAACACCCCTTGCTGTGGAAGGGAGTGTTTGGGCTGTCTGTAATAAAATGGTTTTACATTTTCCAATCTTGCACAAGGATTCCTCTTGAAGGTTGTCAAGACTTTGCTTCAGAGGCGTGTTAATTACCCCAACCCATGAAATTGACTCTCCTATGGTGGAGGATATTAGGGATATTTCTCTCATCTGTTAACGTCATTTCTGACGCTCCTAAGTCCTAGATTTAGAGAATTTCTCCTAGACTCCTACCACCTTGCCTGCTCTCCCTTTCTCTCCAAGCACCCATTCATCTTTTTATTCCCTTATTCCTTTTCCACAAGCTCTTGGGTCCTCACGCTCTGGCCCTTTGCTCAGGCTCCTGGATTCAGTGGTGGGAGGGGAGGGACTGGAGGCCTGATTCACAGGCTGACCTCAGGCTGTGTTGTATGTAAAACCAGTGGGAACTTGGACAAAGTGAGGCATAAACCACTGGCTCCTCTTGGCATGTTTCCTGTAGGGAGTGCCAAAACTCCCCAGCTTTGAGTTATATCAGAAAAGACTTCTAAAATGAGCATCTTGGTAGAGACTGAGGAGTTGGAGTGGGGAGAAAAACCCAGCTCATCATATTCCATTGATTTCTTATTGGTATTTAATGCCACTGAAGGTGTTAAGTCACTCAGTTGTGTCCGATTCTGCGACCCCACAGACTGTAGCCTACCAGGTTCCTCTGTCTATGGAATTTTCCAGGCAAGAATACTGGAGTGGGTAACCTTTCCCTTCTCCAAGGGATCTTCCTGACCCAGGGACCAAACCTGGATCTCCCACCTTGCAGGCAAATTCTTTACTCTCTGAGCCACCAGAATCATTGATTATTGGTAATAAGTATTTGTTGCATTTTCAAGGGCTGAGACATAGCGCAGCACACACACAGCCATTTGACCTGGTTGAGCTTCTGTTTAGAGTAGGGAGGAGAGAGTGAAGTTGGCTTCTGTCCTCACTGTGCCTCTCCACGCCATTATCAGTGATCCAGTTTAACATACTCTTCTCTGTGGTAGGTGGAGATTGATGGTAAATAAATAGTGGTGAAACAGGTAGGCCCGGTCTTCACTTTACTCCGACTCCCACTTGCTGACACCCGAGCCCTGAGAGTGTGTCCTCCCGGAGAAGCCCTGGGATGTGGCGCTGTCTCCAGGAGCCTCAGGACTGGCTGGTGAGGGGCTCGGCCGTGTCGCTGAACCTGTCCGCAAGGCCCTTTTGCTCGCCTGCCCTTTGCTTTGCTCCGTTTCTGTGGCCTCCGCCTTTTCTTCTCATTCTCTTTGCTCTCGTCTTCTTACGTGTGCCTGCCCCTACCTTCTGCTCACCCACACTTCTTAACCCGCCTGGAAGGATGAACTGCAGTTCAACTGAGCTTTCAGACGCCTGAGGTTGACCATGGGCTTTGTTTTGCTGCTTGAGCCAATCCTGTTGGGAGTGACTGAGTGGAAGTCACACGCGGGATGGCGTTTCTTCAGCTGCCCTTGAAAGGCCTCAGCTTCTTGAACAATTAAAAAGAAACATTGAAAACTAGAATAAAAGAAGAAACACTCCCTTAATTCTACTATGGTAGCTCTGATATCCTTTCCCTGAATGCCTTATACTTGAGTCAGTCTTATTTTTTAAGCTGTGGATTTTTCTAAGCTTCTTCATAAATTGAATTGGCTATAAAACAACCAGGTTCTCTGCATCTCAAAGGAGATTGAAATAACTTGATAGACTAAGGCTAGTCTTTTCTGATGCTGTCCAGAAGCACACTGATCCAGTTTCTAACTCTGTCATTCGTTTGCTAAGGTTATTTGTGTTAATTGTGATCTTTCAGTGTGTATTTATGTTTTATTGGGGGAGGTTCTTTTATTTGTGGTCTTTGAACTTATTTTAATTCTATAGTATCTTGAAATGAAGTCACTTCCAGCACAGGGTCTACTGCCTACTACAGCATGACTAAGAAGAATTCTTTTTCCTCTCTGCATCCAATTTCCTAATTAGGAAAACTACCACCCAGATTGATCCCAGTACTGAAGAATATAAAAATGCATTGTACAGTTTTGAGCGCAGTATAAGGTGTTCTTAACAGTACTTTTTAAAAAAAGATTTGTGATCCTGGACATGGAAAGATTTTCTTCTTCTAAAAAAAGTCCTGAAGGCCATCTGCAACGTTTATCAACATTGTTTTTAAGGCCTTCCATTAAGAGTCATGACATCACTCTCAGCCCTATGAGTGAGAGCAAAGAAAAAAAAATCTGTTCATAATATTTATTAAGAATTTTCTAAGTGATTAATATTTCCTTTGGAGAGTTTTTATTCTGACTTTGCTGTAGAACCGACATACATGAAAACGATACAAGAACACTTGGCAGGGGTGACGGACAGGAGAAGATCCAAAATTAGTGTACTGCAAGCTATGTAAGCAAGTTCTCAGGGCATGGGGATAGTGGGATGATTGGAACTGGGTGGGGTTTCCTTGGGGAAATTATGCTCAAGAATCCTTGCCTGTTTGTTATTATCTTCTTGTGCCCACCTTTCCTGTGTACCAGTGTGTCCCTTTGAATGGAATTGTGACATCAGGCATCTCTGCCAGGTTTTTGAACAAACTTCCCAGTTAATTGTTGGGCCATAGTTTTTAAACGGATCAAGTACATTTGTCAGAAAGGAAATAACATGTCTAGATTTCTCTTTAAAACCCTGAAATTCATTAACATCTGCTTCTAGAAATTCAGAGAGATAAATTACATGCAGAATTTTCTTTCAGTCACTTTTAAACTCAGTTAGAATTAGATTTTGAATTTTCTTGGCTTCGAAGCAGTGATTACCCAGGTCTCGTGTACAGCTGAGGGTGTTTCTGGATGTATTTAGGCTACAGAGGCAGAACTCCAGGGTCTCGCGTGTTGTACATCATTGTTAAAATATGTTATTGCTATGACTGAATGTAATATTTTCTTTGGAATTTATGTGTCTCAAATAGCCGAGGAGTGATCGGCAGTCTCCTCTCCCTGTCATCTGATTTATAATAATATTGTGTTTGCAGAATGATAATGTGCGTGGAGTAAGGGTTTATCTTTTGAAAACGTGTATTGCAAAATCATTTCTTTCTTAGCGAAAGATGTTAAAATGGAGAATACAACCTTGAACTTAAGTGCCTTCGACTCAATCAGCAGACATGCCTCATGTTGTTCTCCAGTAGACGAAGGCTGGCTGCTAAAAACTAAAGGTGATGCTGGGCCAGTGGGATTCTGCATACTTCTCCCTTTTCCTCTTGAATGTCTTCTACACTGTTGTTATAATTAAAAATAATATATTTTTAAGACACCGCAGTTATGCTTGAACCTCGAATTCCAGGCTTTATGGAAAGACTCAGGTATATAAATCCTTCCTAGCTGCAACCTGAAAACATATAGAAATAAGGCGATTATAAGGCACCTTAAAATGTTTTGTTCTCTTTTCAAATCTTCCCAGAAAAATCTTTCAAAGGAAAAGGCTACCAATCCAATTAAGTGGTTGAATATATTTTCTTTATTTATTTTTCCTTAATATTTGATTAATGAAGAATCCTGGAACTGAACAAGGACCATTGTGTTTTAAAATATAATTCAAATGGATCAAAAAACCTACCTAAAGAACCAACAATGTGGATAAAAACATGGACCCTGTTTCCCACTTGAGGGGATGTTGGGTCATCTGCTTCATTTGGCCCATGGAAAACAGACGTCCTCTGGCACACTGCCTCTCAGAAGGCTCCGTGGGAGGCTCTAGCTATGAAGTCCTGACAGTGGNTTTTGTGTTTCTTCTTGGTTTGTTTGTTTTCTTTCTTTTTTACCACATCATGCAGCATGTGAGATCTCAGTTCCCTGACCAGGGATCGAACCCATGCCCCCTTCAGTGAAAGTGCAGAACGTTAACCACTGGGCCACCAGGGACGTCTCAGCTGGTCTATTCCTTTGCTCCTTGTGGGCTGCTTGGATGGTGTTGAGATTTGGCACGTTTGCAGCTTGTATGTTGGGGCCCGTCCCTTCCCAAGGAGACTGAAGGCTGCACTCGAAGCCCTTATGTGACCGCCCTCTCCGGCCTCCTGGCCGCTGCATCCTCAGCACTCGGGGCGCAGTAAGCACTCAGAACACAGGTGTAGAATGAATGAGTCTTCTTCGCCGCGTGCATCCACAGTCACTCAGGGCATATGACGTCCAACTCTTCCTCAGACACTGGTGAGCCTGGTGTCTGCGGCCTCAAGACTCTTGATTGGACTCTCTAGACCTGCACCATCCATTATGGTGACCATTGACCACACATGGCTATTTACATTGAGCTTTAATTAAAATTACACAGAATTTAAAATCCAGCCCTCAGTTGCACTGGCCAGCATTCAAGTACTTGGTAGCAATGTATGGCTCGTGGCTACCATACTGGATAGGCATGGAGCCTTGCCATCATGGCAAAAAGGCCCCCTGGACACAGGACTGCTCTGAAAGATCTTTTCTTTGTTTGTGATTGCAGGTCAGCAGGAGCAGGGAGAATCCTTAAGAGCTGCCTTGCGCTGTGACATGTCTGATTCCTTGCTGCAGTCCCTACAGCATGAACAAGGTAAGAGGCACTTTGCGGACTCATCCTTTGTGTCTTCTTTATGGTACCATGAATTTCCCTGGCTACGTGATGTCTTTCTGTGATGGGAGCAGGTTGTGTCTCCTGCCAGAAGCATTATGGAGGTTGGCAAGCAGTGTCGACAGGCAGGGTCACAGGCTGCTGGTGACGTAGCCTTCTAGAGGCGTGAACTGTGTTTGTCGGAGGCCTCTGAGCAGCCAGACTGTCGGTTGTTCGTATAATTGTCTTGGCGTGGATGTTGGAAGACGGAGGCTCTAGGGCCAAGCTCCCTGGGTTTAAATATCAGCCAGCTTTGAGGAGCTTGGGAAAGTGGCTTGATGGCTCTGTGCCTCAGTTTCCCCATCTGTAAAATGCTGGNCTGCCGCTGCAGGAGACTTAAGAGACATGAGTTCAATCCCTGGGTTGGGAAGACCCCCAGGAGGAGGGCATGGTATCCCACTCCAGTATTCTTGCCTGGAGAATCCTATGGACAGAGGAGCCTGGCAGGCTACAGTCCATGGGGTTACACAGAGTCAGACACGACTGAAGCGACTTAGCACAGCCTGGCAACATTTGCATTTATTCCTTGATTGATTACTCAGCACGCAGTGATTGACTGCCAGATGGGCACTCTGGGTAAAAATGATGAATGGGGCTGAGGTCCTGCCTTCAGCAGGTGACAGACAACTTAGGGGCACTGTGACCGGTATGAGATGGGTACCAGCAGCTGGGGAAGCACAGAAGAAACATCTTTCTTTAAGGAATCTGGAAAGGAGCGTATAGAGGAAGTGACGTCTCGAGTTGGATTCTGCATGCTACACGGTCATTTCTTGGGCACAGAAGCATGGCAGGGCATTCCAGGTGAAAGAAACCACCTGTGTAGAGGTGCAGAAGCTTATGAGCAAGTCTGCCATGCGTAGAGAACACTAGAGTTTGTGTGGCTGTAGCAGGATTTCTCAGCCTTGACACTACTGATGTTTGGATCAGGAAGTCCTTTGTCGTGAGAGGCTGTCTTTGGTGTTGGAGGTGTTTAGTAGCATTCATCTTCCTCCACTTTAGTGTGACGATGAAAAATGTCCCCACACGTTGGCCAGTGTCCCTTTCGGGAACCAGAAAGGCCTGCTTGAGAACACCTGCCCTGGTGGAAGATGGCAGATAGGAGACCAGAGAAGGGTGGAAGGGTTGCATTCTGAGAGCCTCTGAAGGATTTAAAACAGGGGAGAGACAGTTCCAGAGACTGCAGCGAGAGGTAGCCAGGGGAGCTGGACAGCGCTTTCAGGTGATTGGGTCCTAAAAACCTCTTATGGGACTCCTAGACTTTAGAAAGCCCATGTAACTTGTTGAGGTTCTTTTGCTAAGGTCCCTTTTCCAGGGGCAGTTTTTCTCATGGCCATTGTTTGGCCTTTTTATGGGCATGGTTGCTTAACCCTGTCAGAAGAGACCAGAAAAAAGTAAGCCATTGTTTTGGAGGTTTTTTGGTCATGCTGTGAAGCATGTGGAATCTTAGTTCCCTGACCAGGGATCGAGCCCCTGCCCCCTTCCCTGGAAGCACAGTCTTAACCACTGGACCATCAGGGAAGTCCCAACACATTGTTTTTTGAGAGATTTTCATTTGACAGCCAAGCCAAAGAGAAAGAAAACTTTGCTGACCTTTCCCCCGTTTGGCTTCAATACTTAAACCTTTTTTTTTAATCCATATTTTTTTTAATTGAAGTATAGTTGCTGGGATAGTTGGATGGCATCACTGACTCAATGGCCATGAGTGAGAGAACTCAGAGAGACAGTGAAGGACGGGAAAGCCTGGAGCACTGCAGTTCATGGGGTCACAGGGTCGGACTTGACTGAGCAACTGAACAACCACAGTAGTTGCTGGACAATATTATACAAGTGACAGGTGTACAATGTAGTGATTCACAACCTTTAAAGGCTATGCTCCATTTATAGCTGTTATACAATACTGGCTACATTCCCGTGTTGTGCGGTCTATCCCTGTAGCTTACCTTACACCTAAGAGTTGATATCTCCTGCTGCCCCACCCCTGTTCTGACCCTCCCCCTTCCTTCTGCCCACTGGTAGCCACTAATTTATTAGTTCTCTACTTAGGAGTCTGTTTCTTTTCTGTTGTATTTGTTAGTTTGTTGTATTTTTTTAGATTCCACACATAAGTGAAATCATACGGTATTTGCCTTTCTCTGACCTGTTCACATAATGCCCCCGACAGTCTTCGAAGAGTGAGCTTTGGGGTCCTGAAAGGTGCTCTTGCCCAAGGTCAGGATTGGAAGTGGGGGAGGGAAGGCAGTTCATCATGGTGGTCCTTGCAGGCCTTGGCTTCTATCATTGGCAGTTTGATGTAGCGCAAAGCTAAGACAACTCTTGGGAAATCTCAGATTGGCAAGCACAGTCTGCTGTGACAGCCCTGCCCTGAGTTTCTCCAGGGCAACGCAAGACCTGATGTCATGGTTTGGCTCTTGACACACAGCCAGGAACCAGACTCAGAAATTTCAGAAGTCCCGGGAGGTGTGTCGGTGGCTTGAGAGGTTATGTTCTTGCCTGAATGACCCAGTGAATGTTTTATTTTATGTTATTTTAAGTCAAAGTGGTGATTAAGCATGATGTGTAACTAAGCGTGATGTGTAACCTTCATTGGTCAGCATTTTTCTTATAGTTTTCTTGGCATAAGACAAAAAAAATAGGTCACCCCCTGGGAAGGAAACAGACCTTGGCATAAGTAAAACTAGACAGTCACCTCATCAGTTAGGATATTTGTTAGAACATTGGAAATATTTTTGAGGGTGTGACTGATTTTCTAAGTAGAAATGTTCCTAGAAAGTTGGAACAGATATCTGAGTTGTACGTTTTCCACTTCCTTGGACATACACCACGTAATCACGCTCCTTCCTTCCCAAACCCCAGCTCGCTTTGTGACACTTTAACTAGAGACATGTCTGGATGTAGGGGGGCTGGGACAACCTTGGGTCCAGGGCTGCTCCTCTGAAACACCGCAGCGATTCTGATCACCGTTAGGCACTGACCGCTCCCTTTTGGGCCAGTTGGAAACAGAACCCTCTAGAAAACATAGGCATGGCCACACGGCATCAAAAATTGGCAGTTTGTCTAACTAATTTAATGGGGATAATCTGATAGTGAACCCCTGGGAGCCAGATAGGGCCTTCATTCCTCACATTCTGGAACCTTCTCTGTGGGCCCGGGTCTGGAATGCACCTGCCTGGAAGGGGTGTGCGTCTGGCCCTCCGGTAGCCAGCAGGCTGGTAAGTACCTCAGTGCTGGCAGAAAACAGAGGGCATCCCAGCCACCACAGTCTTCACCGTGAGCTTAGGGCCATTTCCGGAGCTGCTGTACACGGGATGTGTCAGGTTGATACCCGACTCATAAGCTTTATACAGGGTGGATGCCCTCACGTCTCTTCACCTTTTCGGTATTGTAAACACACTTTAATGGTTGTACATTTCTGGGCTTTGTGCTCTAGCCTCACGTTTAAGGAAACTGTGTGTGTGCAAATTTCCCCAGGGTGCTCATACTCCCTGGGCTTTAGGCAGACTTGCAGACTGTGTTTCCAACTTTCATATTCCCCTTGGAGCTTTTTGCAAGAGCTGACTTTCTAATATTTTGTGTTGATCAAAAACTTTATAATTGGGATTTCACTTTAAATTTGTCCAGCATCTTTACCCTTTCTACTTTCTTGGTTATCCTCTTGTTAATATATAATAAGTATATATTATAGCTTACTATTGTAAATTTTGCTCACCAGAAGGATTATTGTTTTGTGTTTATATGTGTTATTTGTATGTGTTGTCCTGCTGTCAAGAGAGGATTTTAGCCTGTAACTTAGGCAATCATAGCCAAATGAGAGGTTGGACAGAATGGGATTTTGTGGACGTAAACTGGGCAAGGTGGTGTGCATTTAGGACATGCCACTTTGTAACACAGAACCACACTTACAGGAACACAGTTCTGCTTTTGAAAGAGCTCTCTTCCTAGAAGCAACCTTGGAATTATGATCCTTGGTCAGCATTTTTCTTATAGTTTTCTTGGCATAAGACAAAAAAAATAGGTCACCCCCTGGGAAGGAAACAGACCTTGGCATAAGTAAAACTAGACAGTCACCTCATCAGTTAGGATATTTGTTAGAACATTGGAAATATTTTTGAGGGTGTGACTGATTTTCTAAGTAGAAATGTTCCTAGAAAGTTGGAACAGATATCTGAGTTGTACGTTTTCCACTTCCTTGGACATACACCACGTAATCACGCTCCTTCCTTCCCAAACCCCAGCTCGCTTTGTGACACTTTAACTAGAGACATGTCTGGATGTAGGGGGGCTGGGACAACCTTGGGTCCAGGGCTGCTCCTCTGAAACACCGCAGCGATTCTGATCACCGTTAGGCACTGACCGCTCCCTTTTGGGCCAGTTGGAAACAGAACCCTCTAGAAAACATAGGCATGGCCACACGGCATCAAAAATTGGCAGTTTGTCTAACTAATTTAATGGGGATAATCTGATAGTGAACCCCTGGGAGCCAGATAGGGCCTTCATCCCTCACATTCTGGAACCTTCTCTGTGGGCCCGGGTCTGGAATGCACCTGCCTGGAAGGGGTGTGCGTCTGGCCCTCCGGTAGCCAGCAGGCTGGTAAGTACCTCAGTGCTGGCAGAAAACAGAGGGCATCCCAGCCACCACAGTCTTCACCGTGAGCTTAGGGCCATTTCCGGAGCTGCTGTACACGGGATGTGTCAGGTTGATACCCGACTCATAAGCTTTATACAGGGTGGATGCCCTCACGTCTCTTCACCTTTTCGGTATTGTAAACACACTTTAATGGTTGTACATTTCTGGGCTTTGTGCTCTAGCCTCACGTTTAAGGAAACTGTGTGTGTGCAAATTTCCCCAGGGTGCTCATACTCCCTGGGCTTTAGGCAGACTTGCAGACTGTGTTTCCAACTTTCATATTCCCCTTGGAGCTTTTTGCAAGAGCTGACTTTCTAAT